GAGTAAATATATAAAGGGAACTTTTGCGTACATCATTAATTTTATTCAGAAATGTCATGATAGCCTATAACACCAGATTGTGTTTCCTAGTCTTTCCGTGTTGACATCAGACTGATTGTCTTCACTCGGTAGATCTTCCTCGCTTTCCTCGCTGCTGTCAAGATTATTTTGACTAACAACTGGCTCGTATCGATATGGACGAGTATTGTAAGGCCACTGAGCGAAAATTCAACGTTTTCATCGATGCCATGGCGAACGCGAGTAATCTCCTTTAATACTAGACATATAGACGAAACAATGTTTAAGTCTAAACTAGAAATTTGAAACGAAGCGCTTCATAATATAGCACAGGTCAAGGTATCCCATCGATGTGCAGAAGGTGTATATCATGATATATATGTATATCTAGTGTCTCTTGTATACTACAGCTGTGTTATGATATAGAGATGGCGTGGTATTTGTACCATGTATTCTACAGCTGCACATTATGATATATCCATGGCTTGGTATATGTACAACATATAATACAGCTACACATTATGATATATCTATGACATGGTATTATACTACAGCTACACATTATGATATATCCATGTTATATGTACCACGTTATGATATATATCCATGGCATTGAAAAAATCCACGTATTCTACAACTGCACATTATGTTATATCCACGACATGGTAACGATACCACGTATACTTACGCTGCACATCATGATATATCAATGGTATATGTACCACATATACTACAGCTGCACATTATGATCTATGGTATATGTATCCCGTATACTTACGCTGCACATTAGGATGTATCAATGGTCTATGTACCACATATACTACAGCTGCACATTATGATATACCCATGGTATATGTACCACGTATACTACAGCTGCACATAATGACATGTCCATGATCTGGTAACGATACCACGTATACTTACGTTGCACATTATGATATATCCATGGCATGGTCAATATACCAAGTATACTTAGCTGCACATTTTGAATATCCATTGCATAGTATCTGTACCAGGTATACCACAGCTGCATGTTTTAGATATGCATGGCGTATTATGTACCAGGCATGCCACAGCTGCGTTCTATGATATATCTGTACCATTGGATGAGAATCATGAAATTCATATGCATGATAATTCGTTTATATTTCACTCACAATTATGCAGCTGTTTATGCTGGTATATGTAGCTAAACTGTACCCACCTGTACTTATCCTACATAATATTATGCTACATATTTCGACTACATCGTTTGTTTATCACAGCTGTACGTTTTTACCATGTCTCACGTTGCTACATTAACAGGTGTCCAGTGTGTGGTGTTAGGCCTGTAAGATCACATAGCTATTAATTATGATGGATCGTGCGATCGCCAGGTGAAGCCCCACCCCCGGGATGTCCCCGGCTCAGTCTCGGGTTCCGGCCGCCAGCCATGTCCCCTGGACAAGACATATTTGCCATATACGCATATTGTAAAACATAATCCCAAATATATCACGGCGGATGAGTTTCCGGTTCGGGGATTTAGAGGCAGTGAAAAGATCTATCCTGTCAGAGTGGTCCGTGATTGCCCGGGGGTCACGTCAATTGATGTCTCACCCCGTCATGCTTACTTGGTAATATATTACGTCAATAAACGGGGGATACTATCTCATGTGCTTAATACATCCGTGGGTTATGTCAATATTTTGGGATTTGTCCTCTGCCCCGGATTAAGCTGAGGGATTGTGTGAAGAATTTCTCCATTAGGAGCCGAATGTGTATTGTAGTTGTTCGAGGCCCTTTAAGTGAAGTGATGAGTTGCGACACCCCCTCCCCTGCCCACGTGCCTAAGATCCCATGATGTTATGGATGTTGATGGTTGGTTTGTTGTTTAACGCCGCACTCAGCAATATTCCAGCTACATGACGGCGGTCTGGAAATAATCGAGTCTGGACAAGACAATCCAGTGATTATCATGCGCAATTGGGATCGATGACATGCATCAACCAAATCAGCGAGCCTGACCACCCGATCCTGTTAGTCGCCTTTTACGACAGACATAGCCGCCTTTTACGGAAAGCATGGGTTGATGAAGACCTATTCCACCCCGGATCTTCACGGGTCTGTTATGGATGTGTGCGTCGTGTCGAAGTATAAGGTGTTCACCCATTTGCTAACGCGTTTAGGCCAGCCTGAGGTGTTATGGTAAGTGTTGATGAGTGTTTGGGTCAATGTTGGGTAGTGTTGTGGTCGATGTGGGTAGTGTTGTGGTCAGTGTGAGTAGTGTTGTGGTAAGTGTGGGGTAGTGTTGTGGTCAGTGTAGGGTGTGTTGTGGTCAGTGTGGGCAGTGTTGTGGTCAGTGTGGGGTAGTGTTGTGGTCAGTGTAGGTAGTGTTGTGGTCAGTGTAGGGTGTGTTGTGGTCAGTGTGGGGTAGTGTTGTGGTCAGTGTAGGGTGTGTTGTGGTCAGTGTGGGGTGTGTTGTGGTCAGTGTAGGGTTGTGTTGTGGTCAGTGTAGGGTGTGTTGTGGTCAGTGTAGGGTGTGTTGTGGTCAGTGTGGGGTGTGTTGTGGTCAGTGTAGGGTGTGTTGTGGTCAGTGTGGGGTGTGTTGTGGTCAGTGTAGGGTAGTGTTGTGGTCAGTGTAGGGTGTGTTGTGGTCAGTGTGGAGTTGTGTTGTGGTCAGTGTGGGGTGTGTTGTGGTCAGTGTGGGGTGTGTTGTGGTCAGTGTGGAGTTGTGTTGTGGTCAGTGTAGGGTGTGTTGTGGTCAGTGTAGGGTGTGTTGTGGTCAGTGTGGGGTGTGTTGTGGTCAGTGTAGGGTTGTGTTGTGGTCAGTGTAGGGTTGTGTTGTGGTCAGTGTAGGGTGTGTTGTGGTCAGTGTGGGGTAGTGTTGTGGTCAGTGTAGGGTGTGTTGTGGTCAGTGTGGAGTTGTGTTGTGGTCAGTGTAGGGTGTGTTGTGGTCAGTGTAGGGTGTGTTGTGGTCAGTGTGGGGTGTGTTGTGATCAGTGTGGGGTGTGTTGTGGTCAGTGTAGGGTGTGTTGTGGTCAGTGTGGGGTGTGTTGTGGTCAGTGTAGGGTGTGTTGTGGTCAGTGTGGGGTGTGTTGTGATCAGTGTGGAGTTGTGTTGTGGTCAGTGTAGGGTGTGTTGTGGTCAGTGTGGAGTTGTGTTGTGGTCAGTGTAGGGTGTGTTGTGATCAGTGTAGGGTGTGTTGTGGTCAGTGTGGAGTTGTGTTGTGGTCAGTGTGGAGTTGTGTTGTGGTCAGTGTAGGGTGTGTTGTGGTCAGTGTGGGGTGTGTTGTGGTAAGTGTGGGGTGTGTTGTGGTCAGTGTAGGGTGTGTTGTGGTCAGTGTGGAGTTGTGTTGTGGTCAGTGTGGGGTGTGTTGTGGTCAGTGTGGAGTTGTGTTGTGGTCAGTGTAGGGTGTGTTGTGATCAGTGTGGAGTTGTGTTGTGGTCAGTGTAGGGTGTGTTGTGGTCAGTGTGGAGTTGTGTTGTGGTAAGTGTGGGGTGTGTTGTGGTCAGTGTAGGGTGTGTTGTGGTCAGTGTGGAGTTGTGTTGTGGTCAGTGTGGAGTTGTGTTGTGGTCAGTGTGGGGTGTGTTGTGGTCAGTGTAGGGTGTGTTGTGGTCAGTGTAGGGTAGTGTTGTGGTTAGTCTGGGGTAGTGTTGTGATCAGTTTGAGTAGTGTTGTGGTCAGTGTGGGGTAGTGTCGTAGTCAGTGTAGGGTTGTATTGTGGTCAGTGTGGGGTACCTATCCACTCCCTCGCGAACCATTCAAGTCGGTAGGTGGGGTAGCCTGTTGATTAAAAAGTTCGATCGTCACGCCGAAGACACGGGTTAGGCTACCCACATGAATACAATGTATGAAGCCTATTTCTGGTGTCACCCGCCGTAACATTGCTGGAATATTCCTAAAGCGGCGTAAAACAATACTCACGCAATCAATTGGACACGAATTGACGCTCCAAATCAAGCATGATGCTGTAGTATGACAAATGTTATCTTGAACAGTACAATGTTTGGATAAAATACGCACAGTCTCACAGTCCGGGCTGTTCTTTTGTATACTGACCACGCGAGGAATGAGAATTAAACTAAATCAAAACCAGAAAAAAATCATCTCACTCTTTAAACATCTTTAACATCTTAGTCAGCCTCGACATAAAATCTTCTGCAACCCAATTTCACCGCAAGTAGCGGCAAGGTAAAATAACGATACACCATTCGGCCTGGTCAAAGATTTTCATCAGGTTTAAATTCAAAGTAATGAATCATAAAAATCGTTGTCATGGAAACGAGTCGGTAATTACGATCGATACAAGAAGCCATATGTTGAATGCACGAATTGAAACATTTATACCAAAATCTTTAGACTACAGCTGATTATATCAGGATGATTAGCCACAGCGATTAACACACTAACCCTGAGAACACAACGGAGAGGTAAATAGTTATTTTGCATTATCTACAGGAACCTCTTAATGGCAGTTCTATATATAACAACGTTTGCTTAATTAACCAGTACAGTTATGTGAGAATCTAACGAAGAAGCGAGGCGGTTATCTTGTGGGGGTAGTACTAGCGGGAAAGAACAGTTGTGTTTGTTGTGGCGGGGATTGAAGACGTGTTGGTTAAGTCGGGATCGATAGTGTTGGTGATGTGGTCAGTGTTGTTGATGTGGTCAGTAGTGTTGGTGATGTGGTCAGTGTTGTTGATGTGGTCAGTAGTGTTTTTTATGTGGTCAGTGGTGATGTGATCAATAGTGTTGGTGATGTGATCAGTGGTGTTGGTGATGCGGTCAGTAGTGTTGGTGATGTGGTCAGTAGTGTTGGTGATGTGGTCAGTGGTGTTGGTGATGTGGTCAGTAGTGTTGGTGATGTGGTCAGTAGTGTTGGTGATGTGGTCAGTAGTGTTGGTGATGTGGTCAGTGGTGATGTGATCATCAGTGTTGGTGATGTGATCAGTGGTGTTGGTGATGTGGTCAGTAGTGTTGGTGATGTGGTCAGTAGTGTTGGTGATGTGGTCAGTGGTGTTGGTGATGTGGTCAGTGGTGTTGGTGATGTGGTCAGTTGTGTTGGTTATGTGGTCAGTGGTTCTGGTGATGTGGTCAGTGGTGTTTGTGATGTGGTCAGTAGTGTTGGTGATGTGGTCAGTAGTTTTGATGTGGTCTGGAGAAGTGATGTGGTCAGTGGTGTTAATGTGGTCAGTGATGTTGGTGATGTGGTCAGTGGTGTTGATGTGGTTAGTGGTGTTGGTTATGTGGTCAGTGGTGTTGGTGATGTGGTCAGTGGTGTTGGTGATGTGATCAGTAGTTTTGATGTGGTCTGGAGAAGTGATGTGGTCAGTGGTGTTGATGTGGTCAGTGATGTTGGTGATGTGGTCAGTGGTGTTTGTGATGTGGTCAGTGGTGTTGGTGATTTGGTCAGTAGCGTTGATGTTGTCAGGAGTGTTGGTGATGTGGTCAGTGGTGTTGGTTATGTGGTCAGTGGTGTTGGTGATGTGGTCAGTTGTGTTGGTGATGAGGTCAGTGGCGTTGGTGACGTGATCAGTAGTGTTGGTGATGTGGTCAGTGGTGTTGGTGATGTGGTCCGCTGTGTTGGTTATGTGGTCAGTGGTGTTGGCGATGGGTCAGTAGTGTTGGTGTGGTCAGTGGTGTTGGTGATGTGGTCAGTGGTGTTGGCGATGTGGTCAGCAGTGTGGTTGATGTGGTCAGTGGTGTTGGTGATGTGGTCGGCAGTGTTGATGTGATCAGGAGAAGTGATGTGGTCAGTGGTGTTGATGTGGTCAGTGGTGTTGGTTATGTGTCCAGTGGTATTGGTGATGTGGTCAGTAGTGTGGGTGATGTGGTCAGGGGTGTTGGTGATGTGGTCAGTAGTGTTGGTGATGTGGTCAGTGGTGATGGTGATGTGGTCAGTAGTGTGGGTGATGTGGTCAGTGGTGTTTGTGATGTGGTCAGTGGTGTTGGTGATGTGGTCAGTAGCGTGAATGTGGTCAGTAGTGTTTGTGATGTGGTCAGTGGTATTGGTGATGTGGTCAGTAGCGTGAATGTGGTCAGTAGTGTTTGTGATGTGGTCAGTGGTGATGTGGTCAGTGGTGTTGGTGATTTGGTCAGTAGCGTTGATGTTGTCAGGAGTGTTGGTGATGTGGTCAGTGGTGTTGGTTATGTGGTCAGTGGTGTTGGTGATGTTGTCAGTGGTGTTGGTGACGTGATCAGCAGTGTTGGTGATGTGATCAGCAGTGTGGGTGATGTGGTCAGTGGTGTTGGCGATGTGGTCAGTAGTGTTGGTGTGGTCAGTGGTGTTGGTGATGTGGTCAGTAGTGTTGATGTGGTCAGTGGTGTTGGTGATGTGGTCAGCGGTGTTGGCGATGTGGTCAGCAGTGTGTTGATGTGGTCAGTAGTGTTGGTGATGTGGTCAGTGGTGTTGGTGATGTGGTCAGTAGTGTTGGTGTGGTCAGAGATGTTGGTGATGTGGTCAGTGGTGTTGGCGATGTGGTCAGCAGTGTGGTTGATGTGGTCAGTGGTGTTGGTGATGTGGTCGGCAGTGTTGATTTGATCAGGAGAAGTGATGTGGTCAGTGGTGTTGGTTATGTGTCCAGTGGTATTGGTGATGTGGTCAGTAGTGTTGGTGATGTGGTCAGTAGTGTTGGTGATGTGGTCAGTAGTGTTGGTGATGTGGTCAGTAGTGTTGGTGATGTGGTCAGTGGTGTTGGTGATGTGGTCAGTGGTGTTTGTGATGTGGTCAGTGGTGATGGTGATGTGGTCAGTAGTGTGGGTGATGTGGTCAGTGGTGTTTGTGATGTGGTCAGTGGTGATGTGGTCAGTGGTGTTGGTGATTTGGTCAGTAGCGTTGATGTTGTCAGGAGTGTTGGTGATGTGGTCAGTGGTGTTGGTGATGTGGTCAGCAGTGTGGGTGATGTTGTCAGGAGTGTTAGTGATGTGGTCAGTTGTGTTGGTGATGTGGTCAGTAGTGTGGTTGATGTGGTCATTAGTGTGGGTGATGTGGTTAGTGGTGTCGGTGATGTGGTCAGTAGTGTGGGTGATGTGGTCAGTAGTGTTGGTGATGTGGTCAGTTGTGTTGGTGATGTGGTCAGTAGTGTGGGTGATGTGGTCAGTAGTGTGGGTGATGTGGTCAGTGGTGTTTGTGATGTGGTCAGTGGTGTTGGTGATTTGGTCAGTAGCATTGATGTTGTCAGGAGTGTTGGTGATGTGGTCAGTAGTGTGGTTGATGTGGTCAGTGGTGTTTGTGATGTGGTCAGTGGTGTTGGTGATGTGGTCAGTGGTTTTTTTGATGTGGTGAGTGGTGTTGATGATGTGGTCAGTGGTGATGGTGATGCGGTCAGTAGTGTTGGTGATGTGGTCAGTAGTGTGGCTGATGTGGTCAGTAGTGTTGATGTAGTCAGTGGTGTTGGTGATGTTGTCAGTAGTGTTGGTGATGTGGTCATTAGTGTGGGTGATGTTGTCAGCAGTGTTAGTAATGTGGTCAGTAGTTTTGATGTGGTCAGTAGTGTTGGTGATGTGGTCAGTGGTGTCGGTGATGTGGTCAGTAGTGTGGTTGATGTGGTCAGTGGTGTTTGTGATGTGGTCAGTAGTGTTGGTGATGTAGTCAGTAGTGTGGGTGATGTTGTCAGCAGTGTTGGTGATGTGGTCAGTGGTGTTTGTGATGTGGTCAGTAGTGTTGGTGATGTAGTCAGTGGTGTGGGTGATGTGGTCAGTAGTGTGGTTGATGTGGTCAGTGGTGTTTGTGATGTGGTCAGTAGTGTTGGTGATGTGGTCAGTAGTGTGGCTGATGTGGTCAGTAGTGTTGATGTAGTCAGTGGTGTTGGTGATGTTGTCAGTAGTGTTGGTGATGTGGTCAGTAGTGTGGGTGATGTTGTCAGCAGTGTTGGTAATGTGGTCAGTAGTTTTGATGTTGTCAGAAGTGTTGGTGATGTGGTCAGTGGTGTTGGTGATGTGGTCAGTAGTGTGGCTGATGTGGTCAGTAGTGTTGATGTAGTCAGTGGTGTTGGTGATGTTGTCAGTAGTGTTGGTGATGTGGTCAGTTATGTGGGTGATGTTGTCAGCAGTGTTGGTAATGTGGTCAGTAGTTTTGATGTTGTCAGTAGTGTTGGTGATGTGGTCAGTGGTGTCGGTGATGTGGTCAGTAGTGTGGTTGATGTGGTCAGTGGTGTGGGTGATGTGGTCAGTAGTGTTGGTGATGTGGTCAGTGGTGTTTGTGATGTGGTCAGTAGTGATGGTGATGTGGTCAGTAGTGTTGATGTTGTCAGGAGTGTTTGTGATGTGGTCAGTGGTGTCGGTGATGTGGTCAGTAGTGTTGGTGATGTGGTCAGTGGTGTGGGTGATGTGGTCAGTAGTGTGGTTGATGTGGTCAGTGGTGTTTGTGATGTGGTCAGTAGTGTTGGTGATGTGGTCAGTAGTGTTGGTAATGTGGTCAGTAGTGTGGTTGATATGGTCAGTGGTGTTTGTGATGTGGTCAGTAGTGTTGATGTGGTCAGTAGTGTTGGTGATGTGGTCAGTAGTGTGGGTGATGTGGTCAGTGGTGTTTGTGATGTGGTCAGTGGTGTTGGTGCTTTGGTCAGTAGCGTTGATGTTGTCAGGAGTGTTTGTGATGTGGTCAGTGGTGTTTGTGATGTGGTCAGTGGTGTTGGTGATGTGGTCAGCAGTGTGGGTGATGTTGTCAGTAGTGTTGGTGATGTGGTCAGTGGTGTTTGTGATGTGGCCAGTGGTGTTGGTGATGTGGTCAGTAGTGTGGGTGATGTTGTCAGGAGTGTTGGTGATGTGGTCAGTGGTGTTGGTGGTGTGGTCAGCAGTGTTGGTGATGTGGCTGTAGTGTTGATGTGGTCAGTAGTGTTGGTGATATGGTCAGTGGTGTTTGTGATGTGGTCAGTGGTGTTGGTGATCTGGTCAGTAGCGTTGGTGATGTTGTCAGTAGTGTTGATGATGTGGTCAGTAGTGTGGGTGATGTTGTCAGTGGTGTTGGTGATGTGGTGAGTAGTGTGGGTGGTGTGGTCAGTGGTGTTTGTGATGTGGTCAGTGGTGTTGGTGATTTGGTCAGTGGTGTTGATGTTGTCAGTAGTGTTGGTGATGTGGACAGTAGTGTGGGTGATGTGGTCAGTGGTGTTTGTGATGTGGTCAGTGGTGTGGGTGATGTGGTCAGTGGTGTTTGTGATGTGGTCAGTGGTGTTTGTGATTTGGTCAGTAGCGTTGATGTTGTCAGGAGTGTTGGTGATGTGGTCAGTGGTGTTTGTGATGTGGTCAGTGGTGTTGGTGATGTGGTCAGTGGTGTTTGTGATGTGGTCAGTGGTGTTGGTGATTTGGTCAGTAGCGTTGGTGATGTGGTCAGTAGCGTTGGTGATGTGGTCAGTAGCGTCGAAGGTGTCAACACTACTGAACTGTAACTTCCGTAATGGTCAGTAGTGTCGGGGATGATGATGTTGTGTTGGCGATGTCAGGGATAATGTAATTTGGCTGCGATGTTGTTTCAGATTGTGTTGTAGATGAAGATGCTGTCAGACGTATCGGGACAAAGATAATTCGCAGTCATTTCAAGGACATTCATGTCAGCCTTTCAGACAGTGATCCAGATCGAAGCCACTCACCTGTCACCGGACAGATAAACTATCCCCAAATGGGTCAGTCAATCAAATCGAAAAAACTCGCCACGCACTGTGTAATCTCTGGCCTGAACGTACAAACATATATAGGACAGCTGGAAGGTAAGCTAAAAATTCACAGTTGGATGTGTTTTGCTGACAACGCTTGTGAAGGAAAGCGCCCCCGCAGCGTTATGTCTCCTACCCTATCTGATACCCACATGGCTTTCTCCCTGACCGAATCAAGTAAGGAATTATTTATTAAAAACAACATAATCTGTTCCATGGCCAAATTCAACTGATAAAGGCTGAATCCGCGACAACAAAATAAATAGAGGATTCATCACGAGTGTTTTTTAATATGGGAAATATCAACCGAGTCTTAGTTAATCGGTATTTGCCGAGCCTTTGACGACGCAAATACCGATTAACGGGACGAGGTTGATATTTCCCATATTAAAAAACACGAGTGATGAATTCTATTTATCATTTTCACATTTTTGCTTCCAAATTAAGGAATAATTGCATTAATCATTAACATCAGCAACTTGTCGAAATCTTACGTATAGATCGTACGTAGTGATACATGTTTTCCATAGCCATGTAAACCAAAATAAACAATTCGCTGAGAAAAAAAGTTCCTCGGATTATTTTAAACAAAATACTTGAACAGACTTTTGCAGAATAATTGAAACTTTAATAACGGTAACAACAACGATTCTGTGTAATCTGATTATATCTCTGGTGTAACTTCACTTATAATATATAGTTTCAAATCAAACCGCTCGCTCTTCCGGTTATCTAATTTGCATATCTAATTTGCATACTTATGTCATTGGGGTATGACATACATGTTTTTATGTCATAAGCTTATGTCATGGATAAATGCATAAGTTAAATGATAAATCCCCGTAGGTGACGAACGATCGAGTGTTATCACCTGATATATATACACGTGTGCATTTTAATGATTTTGGTCGGTTGAAGCGATATGACGTCACAGTGTTTTTTGTTAACTACAGTATTATATGACGTCAACCTATGTTTCATGACGTCATAAATTGTTAACATTACGTCATGCAAACAATAGGTTGATTTCAGTGAAAATCTGGGAGATTGGCATTTCATACGATTTCTTTATTTCGTGACATGGCAATAAATAAAGGAATTAAGGATTAGCTGTCCCTCGTGAATGAGTGCTGTAAATACCTCCGCAAGACAGGTAATCCGCAATTCCATGTTCGTAGTTTTATATCTACTGAATGGGTGGCAAAGGTTACATGGAAATGCAGATGTGTCACAATCTCATTTAAATCAGCTCTTAGTTCTCGCTATCGCTAAACAAAGATCTGAGGACATCCCATTACGCGTCACGTCAGAGCGACCTTTCATCCGACCAATGAAAGTATAGCATACCAGATAATGAAAGTGACATTCGGAATGTGTTTTCTGGTCATACAACCTCGAAAACGTTAACACGGGGTATCCCGAACGACAGTTACGACTGATTCCGTCAAAATTATCGTTTATCTCTCGCTTCAGTGGGATAAACATTTGAACGGAGGAGGCGTTGCACAATACGCGGAAAGCACTGTCATACAATCTCAACCATATATTAGACATTCCGGAATGTTCGTTTGTTCAGTTTTCAAAATTTTAATCGAGAACTGTGTCAACATATTTTTCAAGCGTAGTCTGAAATGGAGTGCCGTAAAGCTCGAGAAAGCTGCTTTCTTATTGGCTGATGTCGACTTCTTGCTAGTCATTTCAGTGGTCGGTCAAAGTTCGCGAAAGGTCGTTCTGACGTGACCCGTAATGGGATGGCCTCGGATCTTTGTTTAGCGGCAGCGAGAACTTAGATCTGATTTTAATGAGATTGGATGTGACGCGAGTTGATCATCTTATCATTGGCTGCTTTGGTCCCTTACCGGTACATCGGACATAGGGTCGGTAGCCTATGGTTAAACACTCCCTCAAGTCATGTTAGGGGTCGACGCCTGAAGCCAATGTGTACGTGATAGTATCATAATTCTGCTACAATCGGCTTAAAACAATGTTCAATTGCATTCGATCAGCAACGAAATCTACTGAACCATTAATAAATGAAATAAAATATCTGATTTATTTGTAAAAACATTCCAATTCAAAACTCTCCACCACTACTCACCCCCACCCCCAATCCCAACCCCAACCACGCCCCATCCCCAACCCGATTACCAACCCTCTCCTTAAACGCCGCGCTCAGAAATATTCCAGCTGTATCACGGCGATCAGTAAATAATCGAGTCTTGACCAGACAATCCAGTGATGACATCATGTCCATCGATCCACGCAATTGGGACACGATGACATGCATCAAACAAGTCAGCAAGCCTGACCACCCGATCGCGTTAATCGCCTCTTAAACAGAGTCATAGACAGGCATAGACGTCTGTTACGGCAAGCATGGGTTGCAGAAGACCTTTTCTGACCCGGTTCTTCGCGGGCCCCTCCGATAACTACATGTGCTTATATTGTCTATATAAATTCAGAGTTGCATGAACGTTAGTCATACGAACCAATGTTCCGTTACGTTGAATCTATATGCACGCAGGATAGTTGCGCTTCCTGGTCCCAGAACACCATCGATCTACCAACACGTGGCATCACATACTTATCAGTATCAGAAGTCAATTACCATTTTCAATTGTTCTCGCAAACAAACGTTTTGTTAAAATCCTAAAGGTAATTTCTAAAGCAAAGTATATCGATTAACAGTATACATAATAAGTCTGTTATCGGTCAGTTGGATAATGTAATCAATGTCTCCTTATCATCAAAACAGCCCCAAGCTGATCAGCTAGGCGTGTGATAGTAAATGCCATTGGAAAAGCGGATGGGTAACGTATTGACAGTTCACAGTTACTACAGTGTCGTAGTATATTGACCATGAATGTGATAAAATAACACGTGACGACACCAGGTGTTCGCAGTATGGGGTGAGTGAGTATGGTTTTACGCCGCTTTTAGAAATACTCCAGCAATATCACGACAGGGGACTCCAGAAATGGGCTTCACACATTGTACCCATGTCGGGAATCGAACCCAGGTCTTCGGCGTGACGACCGAACGCTTTAAGTTTAGCCACTCCCCGACCGCCCAAGAATGGTTAAGAACGTCGCGAGTATAAGTTGCGTGCCTCGTCATGTTAACGATGTCTGCGTTAAGTGTCCGTCTAAAAGTCTCTCGCGATGAAGGAACCTATGTTGGGAATGATGGTTTGGGCACACTGTCGTTGCTGGTGCTGTTAGCCAATGTTTTGTCTTGTCCGGGTTCATTATAATCCATTCATAATCCATACCTTAATCTTATACACTAAAATCATTTACAAAGAGAACTTATCCACTCCATGTCGTTCCTACCAATATACGGTTAATGATGGCACTTGATATCTCCTGCCTGGCGCTCGGACAAGGACTGTTCAGCTCAGGGTAAGTATACTGTGTCTGAGTGAGGTAGCCTTGTTAAAAATTGCGGCATGGTATATTGAACGCGACGTTAAACCCCATTTCACATTCTCATATCTCCCATATCTTCCCATATGGGGATTCGAGGTCGAAGGGGTAGCCTTGTGGTTAAAGCGTTCTTTTATCACCCAGAAAGTGAGTGAGTGAGTGAGCTGGGTTTAACGCCGCTCTAACAGTATTCAAGTTGTATCGCGGCGTGTCAGCTAAATGTGGGAGGAAAGCCCGAAGTGATGCAGGTCTCAGACGTTTACCACTTCGGTGAAACCCAAGAGCACGGGTATGGTGCTGGCAAACCTAGAAACATAATCGGACGAACCGAGATTCGAACCTACAAATATAGGGACACAGCGAATCGCCACGCCTTAGACGCCTGGGCCACCCGTGCCCCCTCACCCAGAAAGACCGGGTTCGCTTCCCCACTTGATTATTGTTAAATGACCTCTTGTCCCTCTTCTTGATATCTCAGCCAT